CGTTATACAAAGGTTAAAGTGTGAATAGGTCTACAATAGGGTGGTCGCTGGTCGCGTTGGACAGGTGGTCGCTATATCCAGTGTCTTTAACGTGTAAATTGCGAAGGGACTGTACTGAGGTGGTCGCTATGAGCAGGTGGCCGCTCTGCACAGGTGGTCGTTAACACAGGTTTGACTGTATGAGTGAAGTTTGAACTTAATCGGTCCATGCATGTTCGAGATACAGGTGATCACGGACGCACAGACGCACACAGGGCAAACCATAAGTCCCCGTTTTCGGACTACGTCGAACGGGTACTAAAAATTTTTGTTGGGCCAGACTTTTCATTTGTTACGAGTTTGTTGCATGTTGTTGGTGAATAAACAACATGTTCAGTTCCAATAAAGAATTTTTTTTTTCAATTCCATATTGGAACGTCCTTGACTCTCCAAAATTGGTACTAGCCAAGAACGGACAGTTCACGCCACTGTACATAAATATGCACACTCAGGAACTCAAACATTTGCTCGAGTGTTTTTCTCTCAATGATAGAAGCAAATAGATTGCTAATCTGGACAGCAACAGATTTCTGCCAGATTTGTATGGCCCTCTTGTCTTAGCTTTCTAGTTTTACTTATTTAACATTTTTTTGGTAAACAGGATGGAACAACACGAGACTCGAGATTCACAAGTATGCCCTGAAGATAGTTACCATACAGCATTAATTAACAAAATTCCAATTACACCGGATAAGGAATACTGCAAAGTAGAAATAACATACCTATTAAACCCTTCCTGATTTGTTTGTACAAAAGTCATAAAGGGAAATTTGCAATCCCAAAAACACAAAAACAACTGACAACAATCGACGAAACAATCCACAAAAACAAACTACACATCATAGTTGAATGAGTAAAAGATGTATGGTATACATGAAAATGTAAAATACTATATAAATGTCAGAATACTATATAAATGTCAGAATACTATATAAATGTCAGAATACAATATTTGCACACAAAAAATCTTGTAGCAGTCAATATTGCAAAATCAGCCAGTTGAGAAATTTAAACTTTTTTTTGTTCAGGTTATGTAATAAATTTTCTCACTAATATTGTATTTTTGTGTACTTGAATGTACTAAAATATATACACCAATTAAAATCATTAAAACTTCAAATGCAAAGTAAGGAAAATTATCAAGAGTGATATTGGATTTGTTAAAACTGAACCAAAATGTGTGACAATATCTAATTGGTGTGAGAATTAAATTGCTAAGTCAGTGACGTATGAATGGTCTATAGAGTTGAGAACATATTTTGATTAATATCACTGACCATGAACGACTCTCCCATTGCAAAGTGTTGTGTTTTATTTAAGTAATGCATACATTTCATCAGCATATTTAACCAGGTGTACAATTAACTTGTTTGATCCAAAAGTGATGTAATAACACAGAGAGCAAAACATATAAAGATAGAATTGCTAGATAAAGTGTTCAAGTTCGTGTAGGGTTTAGTTTAGATCAGTTTCACTGTACTGAAATTTAACATAACATTGTACTAAAGTCATAAAGGGAAATTTGCATTACCTCATTCTTTTGTGTTTTTCTTTTCGTAACCGCTCCCCTCGACGTGGAAGCATCCTGTGGTCCCATTGGTACAAAATGTTGTGTTGTGACTATTTTGACTTCTTCCGAGGTCAGCGGGGTTTTCACCTAGAAAGTAAAAATTTATAACATGGTACATCGTGTTGTCATGATAGTATTTCACAGAAAGTGAAAAAAATAATATTTTGTTCCCTAGCACCACATTCCTAATTTTACAGTAAATATCAAAGTTTGTTTGTGTAGTGCCATATAGTTTTAAGAATTAAGAATTTAAGGATTAAATAGGGATTAAACCTGCGTCACCTACGCATAGGTCAGTTGACCATAGCATGTCGTAGCGTCTACCCATGGGATTAAAACCTGCGTCACCTACGCATAGGTCAGTTGACCATAGAAATGTCATAGCGTCTACCCATGGGATTAAACCTGCAGCACCTACGCATAGGTCAGGTGACCATAGCATGTCATAGCGTCTACCCATGGGATTAAACCTGCGTCAGCTGCGCATAGGTCAGTTGACCATAGCATGTCATAGCGTCTACCCATGAACCTTTGCGTTTTTAGCACGTGTTATTGCCTGGGACTCTATTCCCATGTACATGCAGGTGACGACCCTCTCGCTTTAAAGCACAGATTAACTTTTGCATAATGCACTAAGGCACATTTTGTAGAATTTAGCATTGAAAATGAATATCCCATGACTATTATTGACAATTTGTTTTTTTTAAAAATGAATGAAATACGCACCCACACATACTGATAAATGAATTCATATCTACATACCTTATTAAGCACTGTATCTTGGTGTTGAAAATGAACTAGCGTTGGATCCTCTCTAATCAGACATATATCTGTGTCACCGTTCGTAATACACTAATAGAAAAAAAAGTAAAAGAAATATGTAAAAATGTACACATCAAAGATTTCCATTACATTATTATTATTATATGATTGTGACCTCAGATACAAGTGGGTAAAGTTCGTCTTTTCACTCATAGAAATATGCGTGGTGCATGAACTTTATCATCACAGGTCATTCACCGATAATTAACAATTCATTTTGTAAATTTCATAACTAAAAAATTATCTAGGGATGTCATTGACAGTATCTGAGTAGCCGTAAGATACACCCAGTATCCTTCTGAGGAACAACAATATTTTGAGATTCTGGATTGGAACATTTACAAAACGCTAGTCTTTGTCAAATTCTATGTTACTCTACTATCTGCAGTTTACAATGGAATTAATTTACCATGGCAACAATGTAGCCAAAGCATCAATATAAATTATGTCATTGTCTTAGACATATGCAAAATCACCCAAGAAGACTTACTATAACTGTTTTAAAATGAAACATACATACCACTTTTTCAAATACAGGTTTAAGGAATGTGCCGTAGCCAATAAGCATAGTATTGTCTGTACCCTTACAGAACTGAACACATACAATTGGCAATGGTTTGGCTGCTGTCTCTATGCTCCCCTGAGTGGCCACTTGAACTGTACACCTTGGTTTGATGGGTTTTTTAGATTTTCTGGAATAAATGCAATTTGGAATTCATTCAATAGAATACTAGTATAAATAAATGTATATATGCCAGTTATAAAGAAATGAAATCAGTTTTTTTAATTTAACCTCTGTCACTGACTCGCACTACCTCACATTGGAGGAAACTTACCCATTTAATGTGGGATCGAACACTTGTACCTGACCAGTTCTTGTTAACACAGCTATAAATATAGACTAGAAACATTGCAATTGTTATTGAGTGTTTCAGAAACTTCACTATATATGCAGTCAAGCTTGAATGTCAGCTGCCAGGTAACGAGTGGCAACAATTATATTAATACAACAGATTTATTTTGTTTGGCCTTGGGTAAGGTTGAAATAGTGCTAATGAAACTTTATTTTTCTTGGAAAACAAAGATGATACGAAAGTTAAAAATAATTTTCAAATTCATGAAGCAAGAATAATAATTTAATTGTAATGCACTTATAATTCAAGCCTGATTAAATGTTCAAGACAGCAAAATAATAAAAAATATAAATATATATAACGCAGAACATATAAAAAAAATATTGACAGTAATTCAAGAACAATAAAATTATTTACTTGTGTAATATCGATATATTTACCTGATTTTTGTTAGCATTTTTAAATCAGGTTTGAAATTTGTGCTTGGCGTGTTGGCAAATATACAATATTAGGAACAGCAAATGTCTAGAGGTATAAATCAGATTGAATTGTGGGTATTGTTTACCTGATCTGATTGCAGACACTGTGCTACATCAAATGAGATTGGTTCCTCAATCAAACTGAAAGCTGCTACTGCATTCTTATCTTTGGAATTAGACTTGATATGCCTTTAAAAAATAAATTATTACATTTCATATAGATCACTGTAAAATACTTTATTTTCGATTGGAATTAATTTTCGCTGAAGGAATAATTTCGTGAGAATAAATCCAGCGAATCTATTTTTTTTCTATATTTTACATTCAACAAATCAGTGAAAATAAATTCCACACAAAACACCCAAAAAGTCTTCAGCTAAAATAAAGTATTTTACAGTATGACAACATTCACTAGGTGAAAATAGTGCATCATTATTGGTACATTACTATGGCAACCACAAACCAAGACTTTTACACTTTACTAACTTACTAAATTGTTCTTTTGACCTCCATGAAGTCATTACAGTGACCTCTGTGCAGTAATACTACCACAGTCTCCAAATTCAACAGTTATATACATGTACAACAATGTTGTCAATTTTAGCTGTAGTCAATTTCCTGTGAACTCTTCCTCCTTCTGCAGTGAATTATGTTATACCAGTATCACACAAAACATGATTTACTTACCATGCATTAAGTACCCTGTCTTGGACAGCAGTTGATAACAAAACATGATTTACTTACCATGCATTAAGTACCCTGTCATGGACAGCAGTTGATAACAAAACATGATTTACTTACCATGCATTAAGTACCCTGTCTTGGACAGCAGTCGATAACAAAACATGATTTACTTACCATGCATTAAGTACCCTGTCTTGGACAGCAGTTGATAACAAAACATGATTCACTTACCATGCATTAAGGGGTGATCTCATATTCAAACATGCAGGTCAAACCTACGAAAACCCAAACCGCCCTAAACCGCCCGAACAAAACCCAGTTTTGCGGTTTGGAAGTTTAAACAATAGACAGTGCGGTTCAGGACGACCGCACGAATTTGCATAAAAACTGCGGTTCGAACCGATCTCATTCACACCTCATTCAAGCTGTTGTTTATTTTTAGGATTGACAGTTTACATTGCTTTTTGAAGACTAGATAGTTGTCTGAAAAATGTGTCGATTTATCGGTGTACAGTAGTCGTTTTATCGTGTGTCTTGCCTAAAAAAAACACTATCATATATCGGTGAACAGCGTGCTGAATAAATTGTTTTGTTTTGATAAACTGTTATGCTAGTGTCGCAAATTGAGCAGAGGACGTGAATCAGACTTTTCATTGAGCTGGACTCTCTGACAGCTAATAAGTATCAGAAGACGAACATTTGTTGATACAAAGTTGCACTTGAGACTTACGCTACAGTGTTCAAGCCTTTACTACTGTTGCACGTTCAATTTTCATACAGTTCTTTCAGGAGTGCGTCATCGCAAAATCCGGAAAAACAAATGC